ATTTGTGGGGCCATGCCAGAAATACTTCTCTCCGCTTGCCCCTAATCCCACATGCACAGGAACTCAAATCTTGATCTTGATTTCTTCCACATATGGAATAAAGTGGTTTTTCAGACTGCTTCAGTGGTAACTCATGTCCACCATAGCTTGAGTAAATGGTGATAATACTTCTTTATGCTAAATTACTTCCAGCACTGGGAATCTTAAAAGCAAATTCCTCTAATTTTATCACATGCTGCCTCTTTGATTCTTTCAGAAATACATTTTTTATTTCATTGAAGGGTGTGCCAAGTTAACTGAAAAAAAAGTTAGGAAATATGAAGCAAAGGCATAACCTTAATTCAACAAAGCCTCTTGGGCCAGAAAAAAGGATTTTGTACCAAAATTTCTACACATGTAGGGATTTTTCCCCTTGTATGAATGCGATATTTATCATGATTTTTGGAGGATTCTCTAATAATGTGGTCACTGCTTTCTGCTTCCAAACCAGAACGAGAAACAGAGGGAACAGTGACTTTCCATTTCAGAGGAGCAGCAGTGAGAGTTTTAGGTTTGGAATCCACCTCCTGGTTTATGTTTTAATTAGTCATGGAAACCTTCCTGGCGTGGACCGTTGCTACCTTTGGGTCCAACTTCTTGAGGTAGATTTTGCCTCTCCCTGACTAGCGGGGACAGAATATTCTGGATACCAACCCTGGAAAAGACTGGCAGTTTAGATGTTCTCTGCTGCAGCCCACTTTTCTTGAAATGTGCCCCACCCTGATGTCCTTTAGAAAAATTGTGACAATGGTCCTATTTACGGGAATCTTCCTAATGGTTACAGCAGGTTAATGGTTTTAATTTTTATGAATAATTAAGATATATCTTTTATGTACTGTAATCCTCCTAGAGTTGGGAGAATTAAATAGCATAGAAATGATTGCAAGCAAGCAAATAAATAAAATGGGAAGCATTTTGGAGATGCATCATACTCAGTTCAACTGACAATGAGTAGGATTTTGAGCCTCCTTACAGAACAGTTTTTCTTCTCACCAATAAATCCAGAAACACAGTTTGAAGAATGCCAATTTAGAGTACAGATGCCCTCTGCTATTTCAAAGAATCATGGAGCTGAAAGAGGCCAGGAACACCATTAGATGAGACCAAAATGCTACCCACAAATGTCTGAGATTTGCCATATTAGAGTAGCTGTCAGAAAGAAAGGGGGTGGGGCTTCCCATCTGTTTGTCTCTGAGAAAGCTGTCTTACTGTGCTGAGTAGGTAAAGAAAGGAAAAAGAAATACAGGTAATCGTTGATTTACCACCATTCATTTAGCAACCGTTCAAAGTTACGACAGTGTTGAAAAGTGACTTATGACTGGTCCTTGCACTTATGACAGTCACAGTGTCCCTGCAGTCATGTGATCAAAATTCAGGCACTTGGCAACTGTCATGTATTTATGATGGTTGCAGCATCCCATGGTCACATGATCACCATTTGTGACCTCCCCAGCTGGCTTCTGACAAGCAATAGCAATGGGGAACCATGCGATTCACTGAACAACCACATGATTTGCTTAATGACCAGTGAGTTACTTAACGACTGCCACAAAAAATGTTGTAAAATTGGGTGCGGTCATGTGACACCTCACTTAATGACTGCACCACCTAACAATGAATTTTCCAGTTCCTATTGTGGTTGTAAGTTGAGGACTACCTGTACATAGATGCTGCTGGCCAGGAGGTATCAGCAAGCATAATCTGGTTAGGTCAGGTGGGTTGTTTTAATTCTATTAGGCTAGAGCAGTGTTTCTCAACCTCAGCAACTTTAAGATGTGTGGGCTGGGGAATTCTGGGAGTTGAAGTCCACACATCTTAAAATTGCTGAGGTTGAGAAACATTGGGTTAGAGTGAACGGATGGTCATTTCAAAAGAAAATGCATTAGATTACTCCAGAGGAGGGTGGTGGATTTTGATTACTCCAAAGTGAGGGCAAGGAACCAGATTTTTCTTATTGCAAAACAAAAATGATTGTATGTGTGTTGGGAAAATACCGTTGATACATAGAGCTTTACATATGTCTTTTGCAAAGAAACCTACTATTGATTTTCAGTCTTTTGTGCACTTGGACAAGCAAAACAAAGCAGTTAGAGATCAAAGCTCATCAGGAACACTGACAAGATTATTTTGTAAATAGACAGTGAATCAAGGGATGCTGTTACTGCAGCAAAGAGCGTGTTAGCATGTCACACTGTTAGGAATCACAGTGGTTTCAGGTCAATGGATTGTCCAACTGTTTTGCTGAAAAGGCTATTTCTTGCTTTTAACATAGTCTGAACATTTTAAAACCCTGAAACCAAGACAGGACGAATGGCTAACTTTGTAAATTGCACTGCATTCAATTGATGCTCCTCTGAAAGCATTTGAAGAAAATTGCATAGCTTATTGTGGAATTGTTGCTACAGATGGAAGCAATCACGGCTCAGTAAAATTATTCCCAGTCATCATTTGATATTTTGACTGAAAGAACAGCGATTTGCAGTCAAAATTAATTGTGGTTTAGAATATACTTGATGCTGCTGATATGATTGCTCAGTGCATAAAGTGAAGTAGGCTTTCTTTGATATATGCATTGCACTGATAGGTGATAAATGCTTATAAGGTTTGGGGGACTCCAGTGTGATGAAAGGGGTTGCAAGTATTAAGTTGTTGCAGACATCCTCTTCTTTAATCAGTCTTAGGTCATAGGTTACCCAGCATGTATTTTGAACAATTGTATTCATCATGTGGTATAAACAATGGATGTTGACAAATGAGAACATTATTTTTTAAATTCTATCAAAATGTCATATTGTTCCAACTAAGCAGCTGATGAACTATGAGTTTGTTGATCCTGAATACTGAAAGCTGGTTTCTCAAAGAAGACATGATGGCTGTCATTATTCCCAGGAATTACAAACCTAATCCAGATGTTTCTGATCTTGTAGTCATTCTTTTTGTAACAGTTGAAAAAAAAAAAACCCCACCATGATTAAGACATTCAAACATGTGTTCAGTGAAATATACCCCAGACAATGCATTTGTTCTTAAGGGTATTCCAATTACACATTCAAAAAAAACTGAAAGGAAAATGACTCTGCTGGGCAAGTGCTGAAAAGCTTGAACACAATTTGCATCATTGTTCTTGAATGTAAGGCTCATAACTTCATATCACCTAAACTTAAGGTACTTTTGGGTCAAAAATACAAAGGCCAACCTGAGAAGTGTGTGTTAAATTCTACAGTATAATAAATTATTTGTACAACATATGCTTAGAATGGGAAAGAGGAGCCTAACTTTACAAATGAAAATATGTACATGGCACATTAGGTAAAGCAGAGTCTCTCCAAAGTATCCTATTTCTGAAAGTTCAAATATGACAACCCAGTTACATTCATGCTGTAAAAATGGCCTCTATGGCCAAGAATTGGATTACAAACTTATTTTAAAAATGCTCCCTCCATAATTTGAAGTAATATCAAATAGACTCATAGTGACAGTGCAAAACCGTTCATGTATTTGCTGGGCATAATGGTTCATCATGGGAGGAACTTAGAAAAAGGCAGTGAGGCAGAATCAGTAAAATTTCATTTGATATCAGTGATCCCTACTGAAAAGATCAGAGTGGTGTTCCATCACATCCAGCATCTTGTTTTTTGCAATGGCTGAACCTATGCCTCTAGGAAGCCCATGAGAACAGGGCCTGAAAATAATTGGCCAGAAAGCTCAGGGTAGGTCTAAGATCATGTAGGCACAGAGATTACCCCAAAGCTCTCCCCTTCTGCTAGAAGGATAAAGGAATTGTCCTCTTAAAAACAAAGGCGTCAGCTGGGTATAGGGGCTAGGTAAAGGAGAAAAGTAACATTCTGAGACTGATTAAAGCTTGCATCTGTACAGCATCGGTGAGCATCTGATAGAAACTCCCCATTTTCAGCAGACAGCTACTATGGTACAATAGCCAGAATGTTCAGTTTTGAGAGAGAAAGGTCCCAATCCAACCTTTTAGTTTGGTACAACTGGTTTGTCCTTGATAGAAAAGAGAACCTGGTTCTGTACTTCATGGGAATTAAGCATCAGTTTGTTCTAGGAGTTTTCTGAATTCCTTCTGTGATGGCTGAGACTGTGAGCTCCCACTTATTTAGGAGGGGTAGTATTCTGGGAAAATTGGCATCTCAGGGATTTCTGTTGATCTGAGAATGGTGAGAAATACCTTTTTCTTTTATTAATTTAGAACCGATTGGCACAGAATCCCAGCTGGCACTTTTGTGTATTTGTTTAATAAATAATCAAGCATCTAGAAATATTTAGAAATGGGAAAGATCGTTATGTACATAGTGCGATTTCTTATCCTGTGCAGATGATGCAGCAGTGGACCTTCCACGCAAGAAAAAGAGAGCCAGCACACTGTGATGGTTAAGGGTGTAGACTAGGAGTGGGGAGACCCAGATTCCCCGCTTTGGGCCAGTCATTCTCTCTAAGCCCTGCCTTCCCCATGGGGTTCCTGTTGTGTGGAAAAATACAAGGAGGGAGTGCTATGTATGCACTCTGACCTCATGAATTAAAGGCGGGATAGAAATCTAATAAATAAATAAATAAAAACCCTATTCCAATCTTTTAGTTTAATTACAGAATCCTTACAAATAATTTCAGCTGCCTTACTAATAAGTGGCCTCTTACATAGTAGAATAGTATTTTAACCAGGTTCTAATAAAACACTGTAAGCTGTATTCAACTCCCTATCCTGAGTTTTTCTTCTAGGACTTGGATTAATGTATTGTTTGTTTTTTTGCAATAGATATGATTGTCCTTTCAGCTATCAAAAGATGTTTTGGAGGATTTAGGATAGGGAAAGCAGAGACTGGGTCAACTATGCCAACCTCCCCCTAAAGTTAGACTGACAGCTACTTTAGCTTCATTTTGGAAAGCCATCCAAAGTGCAGTTGACCAAAAGAACTGACTCAGCTGAAATAAAACACAGTGTGTGGGGTGATATGATATGATTTATATCTGTAATACTGTATCTATGAGAGCTGATTCATAACATGCATGAATCATCAAGCAGCGAACAGACACATATGAATCAATCACTTGACCTCTGAATTCCCAACAATTTCTTTACACATTAAGCTTTTTAATTAAGGAAATGCTCTCTCAAGTTACATTTTTCATAACCCAACATAACATATGCAAAACAGTGAAAGACATATCTACTGGAGGGAGGGAGATAGAGGTGGCAACATGTCATCAGCTGAAGCATTCCTGATGTTCCCTATGCACTAATGAAGCGTAGGTATCTGCATGCAACAGCTGACAAATTCATGCGGCTGAACCTTATTACGCATCACCTCCATATTGCATGTTTGAATGGTAGAATCCTAAATCATCTCTGCATACCAAAAAGCAGGACATAAAAGGAAGGTTGGAGGTAAAAGCATTTCACAGACCATTCTTCTGTCCTCTACAGTCTGATGAAATCCAAAGGGCAACCCCCCCCCCCAAAAAGCTACAAAGTTATGTAGTGATTTGGATGCCACAGAAGAATTGACTACTACGAGTCCTCACTGAATCTCCCAGTGATGTTTTTGTGATTGTTGGATGCATTAGAATAAATTTGGGCAAAACCTGGAAGACAATTCAAATCTTATACACAAAAACTAAAAGGATTTTAAAAAGATACGCTGTTATCCCTATGAAGCAGCAGCCTAAATGCTACTTAATATTTTAAAAGTGGATTCCCTTCATATATAGATACAAACAAATAAAAATATACTTTCTTTTGCAAACATATTTGCACAAAAATCCACTCCAAAGAGTTAGAGCAACAAATTCGCTCTTCTTTTTTTCCCTCTTGCTCTTTTAAATACTGTCTAGCAAATGCCTCTGGTCTATCAACTGTACAACAATAAATTCAAGACAGATGAAGGAACCGGATTAGGGTTAAATCCATTTCAATGGGCTAAAACATTTACAGGAAATTTCTTTGGGATATAAAACACAGAATTAGTAAAGAACCAAAACAAATGTAAATGGAGGCGCAAGTTTGTCATACTGTACTAGATGGGAAACCAAATAATATTTGCACTCTAATTCCTCTTCATCCAGAGCAATTCAGAATTGCATCTAACATGTTTTAAATGTATCCCTAAAAGCATCACGCCTAAATGTGACTGTCAATTGCTTGTAAGCAATGGTCTTCGGGAAGCCCCAATTCACTACAGTAAATACAGATTTGTGTTTGTAATTTGTGAAGTAGTTTTAAGCTTGCAGTTTGAGAAGGAAGTTTGATTCCCTCGCTTACAGAAAGCCAAGCTAGCAGGACAGGATTTTATTACAAATTTAATGAATGACGATCTAAGAATGCATGCAGGCACACATATACATAAAACTTAAACATAAAGCATACGGGGCACCTTGCTCAATCCAAGTTGTGAAAGCTGGCAAGAGCATTAAAGCAATAATGTTTAGCTTTCAGACACAGATTACTGAGGAAAAAATTAATCATCAGTTGAGCTGGAAAGCAAATGGTGTTTCAACTCAAGGATTCATTTAGATGTCCATCATTGACAAGTGATTATGGATGCCATATCTGACATGCCAAGGTTGTTTTGGGAAAATGGCCAATGTAATCTAATAAGCAAACTCTTGCACCAACATTAGGTTGCTCATTTCCCAAACTAGCATACTTTATATTTCTCCTTAAAGATACAAGGCTCAGTATTTTAGCTTCCTATAATCTTCCTTAAAATTAGCACTTTCTAGATATAGGGCACTACAAGTCAAATCCCCAGCCAAGTATGTATAGTTTGAAAAATGTGGAAGGTGCCAGGTTCAGGAAAGTTGTCTTAATGCTGAAGCCTGCATTCCTCATGAGATATCTAAATAAAAAGAGCTCAGGAAAAGAGATGTGTTTTCACCAAGATTTCTCTTGATCAGCCAGATTCACATCTCACTAGGCATTTGATGCTGGATACCAGAACCCAAGGATTACATGCACCTGTGTCAAATCAGTTAAGAAGATTGCACACAGCCTCGAGCAATTCTTTTCCCTCCAACTACATTGATGTATGTGACCCTTCCCATTCTTCTGTCCATGTTAAAAGGGGGAAGCTGCACATACGTAACTGCAAATGTACTGTCTGTCTGGGAAAGTTTGTGCTCCTAAAAACTATTTTGGAGAAATGTAAAGTTCACTAGTAGGATATAGAAAATAGATGTGATCATAATTGGTTTATGGAGAAAAGAAGCTCAAAGACAAAAATCAGTGTCTTTGTTAGGGATAGACAGTTGGAATGCAAGGAGTCAGTTCAGTCCCTGTTGTCCCCAACATCATTTGTGCAAGGTAAGCCACTGAATATGATCTCATCTGCTCTCTAACACAAACCTAGGCAAACATAAGCAAAAATGGTGTTTCAAATCAAGGAAGGAAGGATGGCACCTGCAGGCATTGCAGTGTTATGTCACAAGCTGTTCCTTTTGGGGAGCATGTATGCAGTGTCATGACCCATACAGAAAAGGGGGGCTTGTGTCAACAACACTGTGTGCATCATTTTGACTCCTCCACCTTTTGCTCCCCTGTGGCTGCAACTGGGAAGGAAGGAAGAAAGGAAACGAAACTCAGTTGCTGGATACAGGACAAAGACCTATAAATGCAATTACTGAAAATCTAGAATCTCACAATATGGCTGGAAGAATGATAATGTTGTTATTGAAAGAGTTCAAAACAACAACAGTACAAAGCTGACAACTATTTACATAGTCCACAAGCTCATTACTGATACAACACAAAATCCACAACAGCACTGAAATAGCTTTAGATCCACATTCAAAAGACCCAAAGCTGAAGATTCACAATGCCTTTAGTTCTGTTAAAGCAGTGGTTTTCAAAACTGTTTTGGAGAACCCTTGGATTTTTCAGATGGTCAACAGTGGCAAAAGAAAACAAAAAAGCCCTGCTCACAGTTATTAATCTTAATCTGCAAAGTGGTGTTCTCCAGATGTGTTAGGATCAAGACTATCTTAAATCCCAACAGACCTGGGGGATGCCAGATTGAGGCATCTGTTCTAGTTCTGCAGGGTAAGAGTCTTAGTAGGTTAGACCATGGTCCCATGTAAGCAGAATGAGCATCTCACAAGGCTTGAAACATGCAAATCGATTCCATGGTAAACAAGGAAGGTGTTTTAAAAATTTTGAGAACTCTGCATAAAGTCTGGCCGCTCTAAAGAAGAATTTAAAAACAATTCTCTATTGGTAACAGCAGTGAATATAAAGATATTCTTGATAACTCAGCGAGGCATGATCCAGAAGCCAACACAAATGCAGGGATGTTGCAATGTTTCTATAGCTAACTGTGAAACGTGTGACTGACACAATACAGCCATGATTTCATTAGAGAAAGTTAACAAAAGAATATGGAAAGCAAGATATGAATTATGCCCTTTATATGACCTTTCTTTTCTTTTAAACAAAAAGCAATGCACTCCAAAATTCTTTTGTTGGGCAATCCATATACAACAGAAGGCACTGTTATCCATAGGACCCCTTCAATTTCACATGGCAAAAACCTGAGAAGTGCAATTCCATTCAGTTTCAAACAGCTGGTTCCCCCTTTCCTAAGGAAAAGAAGAGGAGACAGATGCTTTCTTTTCAGTCCAACAACTTATAAAAATACCCACAAGAATTTATACATTACAGCAGCTGGTTAGAAAGAATGTCTTAATGAGGGGGGAAGGGGGTCAACTACTGCCTTTTCCAAAGGGGAAACCTGCAGACCTCTTGATTACCTTCCCTTGCCTGTTCATAAGTCACATTTTTTTTTAATAATGAAATATTTTTGCACAGTTCTTCAAGCTCTTTTCCCCTTCAGTTGCTTCCTGGAGCATTGCCAAAGTTAAATCCAGAGACCAGTCCTTTGTTATCAAATGTGAAGCCCGTTTGTTGTTCTATCCTCTTAGATTCTAAATAGAAAAGAAATAAAATGAATACTAAGAGACAGATTGCAAATATATCTTTATGCAGTACCAATTATACTTCCAATCTCTTTTCAACACATACCTTAATTAAATGTAATTTCTAAAGAACCTCTAAATATGGGGAAAAATCAAAACTGTTATAAGAAGAAACATACCGCTGTTTGAATCCTCTGCTATTGCTACTTCTAGATCAATTATTCAACATCTTTAACTTGCAGAAAAGTTTGGAAATATGTAGTATGTAAAACTAAATACTATTCAACCCTCCCCAATCTGGGCATCTTCCAGAGGGGTGGACTGAGCATCCAGCATTTCTCAGGCACCACCACCATTGTGGGAAATTCTGGGAATTGAAATCTGGAGCATAAACAGGTTGGGGAATCTCGGGAAGGCTGCACTAGTTCCACATACTTACTGGGCCACATACTAGTTTCTCAACCTTGGCAACTTTAAGATGTGTGGACCAGCTCTCAGAATGCTGGCTGTGGAATTCTGGGAGCTGAAGTCCACACATCTTAGAGTTGCTAAGGTTGAGAAGCACTGGACTGGGTATTGTGATGAACATTTAAGTGAACCTAATATAAAGCATGCATGCCAGACTAATGTTCCATATCACACCATTTTTCCATCTAGCCCATATGTTGACCAATATGAGCTAATCCTTTTAACTTGTAATGCCAAGGAAATGAACTTGGGAACTTCTGTATATAGAGCACATTCTGTATCACGGAACTGTAGCCCCAAGAATGAATGTCAAATCTATACTGAGAAGTAGTTATGACACACACAAAAATACACTTTTGAACAATGGAATTTTTAAACATGCTGTGTATTTGGACTCCCCACATCCTTCTGAAGCTTCTTTGTGTTTTTTTATGGAAATGGTGATAGAGGTAGGTAGTGAAGGGTTGGGGTGGGAGGTTTACAGAGACCATGTTTGCAGTGTCTCCCTAAACCACTATTGCCTCCAGATTCCTATACATTAAGCCATACTTAGATCATGAATACCCTGTTTCTCTGGATATAGTTTATTTCTTGGCTATTAGACATGTCAGCTGAGTCTAAAGGAAGTTAATGTCCAACAAAGCTTGTAAGGCTCCTACACTAATCTCTCCCTGACACCCACCTCCACAATGTGGAATGACTCACTGAGGATTCATTCTTTTCTTCCTCCAGCATCTGGTCTTGTTCTCTTAAAAGGAGTAAAAGTATGTGAAGTGCCACACCACACCTTCCAAAATTTCCCTCTCAAACTGTCCTATATATAAAAGGACAGTTTCTCGTAATGGACAAAAACAAAGAAAATTAACTTGGGACAGTTTAGATTATTTTACTGGGCTGCAATAACTAAGAGTTCCTATTGATAGACTTTAGACTGTATGCTTTCTACTAACATTCTTGCAACTGACCTGCAGAGCTTCTCCGGTGTTCAGCTAATGTACAGATTTCCTGCAACTGAGTCTTCTGATCAGTGCTGAGTGGTGCTGTCAACAAGTGGTACCAGCCAGCATCTCGGCTTTGTATAGCTAAAAAAACAGAATAGGTTTCTTTCAAGAGACATATAACTTGCCAAACTCCCACTCTACATCATTAAGCTATCAAGCACAGAGACCTACTTTTAAAGTAAGTGCACTGAGTTGAAGTTTCTGCTGTGTGGGAGATAAACTGTTTTAATATTCTTAGTGATTGATCTCCAATAACAGACCAGTTGTTTCAACAACTTTATTCCCAGAAATATGAACCTCTTTATCAACAATATTATATCTTGCTGTTGTTCCCAGATTCTCAGGGCACTTAATCATCAAGAACAACTGAATGGGGCAAGTTAGCTGAGAAGCAGGGACTTACCCTAAGCCAACCTCTGAGATTCATAGCCAAGCAAGATTTGAACCTGGGTTTCTAAACTTGAAAGTCAACATTACGATTAACCTGAATATAACAGACTTATGTACATTTCCTGGCTGATAATTGACATTTAGCTGAACGGAGTATTCAGCTTTGTATATATGGAACTGCTTTCCACTGAATCCACTGATTAATCTTGTGGCCCAGAAATAGGAAACCCTGGGATCTTCTAGATGCTGTTGGCCTGTAACTTTCATCAGATGCAGCTAGCGTAACCAATCATTCTGTTGTATCTCAATAACACTGGCAATGCTACAGGATTTCCACCACTGATGTAGGGATTTATAAATAAAAAATAGTTTGTCAAATCAGCTGGATTTTTAAAAAAAACCTAAAGATAACAGTAATCTTAGAAAAGTCAGAAGGGAAGAAATTCTGCTTTAAAAATATCTATACCTAATAATGCCTGTGTGAAGAACTGATATTCATCCACACCATCTTCTAGATCAATAGGAGTGCTGAAGCCTTCTAAAGCAGTTTCTTCTAATGCTTCATCATCCCAGTCGTCATCATCGTCATCTTCTTCATCATCGTCTCCTGCATCACCACCGCCACCGGCATGGTTCTCCTGCATGTCTTGACTTGCTTCATTCACTTCCTCTTCATCACTTGGAATCTCTTCTGCAAAATATATTTTTTTAAATCAAGGCAAAGAATACAAGGAAGACAAAGATATATTTTTAGCCAAAAGCACTGTTTCAAAATTAATGATACCTCCAGGGAGCACTGTATGAACAAACATTCCTTAAATTGCAATCCTGGTAAATGTGATCACGAAAATATATATTTTTTAAACTGAGGAAGGCTAGTTAGTGGAAAAAGTCACTTCTGATTAGTAGACCTCTGAAATTATCCACCAAACTCTTTTGAAATAACCTTTCTTACAGAAAAGTCCTTCCCTGAGGAGTCCGTGCAGGTCACTGTGTATATTAGGTGTGCAGCTATGGAAATAATAACAGATTTGTCCTTAAAGATAGGGAGAAGATTTTTTTCTCATGACTAAGGGAGTGCAATGGACTGAGGTCAAAAGAATAAAATGTAGAGAAGAGAGTAACTTCTTCCCTAGCCTGATCTACAATTTTCCTGTAGGGGAAGGAGTTTATACATGTGCTTGTGAATATTCAAAAATATTTGGAAAACACAAATCCTCCCTCTAGGCACAAGTGAAATAAATTATAAGTATTTTGCTATTAATAAATGCTTATCATAACAGCTAAAAAATGACAATCTGCTCATACCATTATCTTCTGCATCATTCTTTTCAGCTTTTCCATGCTCTTCATGTTCTGTATGTTGCCGGGTGGCACACATTTGTTTTAGTCCCAAGAATAGGAGGAGAACTGATGGGACAATCTGGGCAGCCACAGCGTCTACTGAAGGAGGTCGAGACGGCAGTCCCATGAGAATGCTCAGTCCAATGATGCACATCTTCCTGTCATGAAGACTGAACATACACAATTCATTGATGAGAGTTAATTTATCTAACAGAGTAGCTTTCTGTAAGTTAGCTAGGAATTGTGAAAAATGAGGTCAAACACATCTGGAGGATACTAGGTTGAGAAGATAGTTACAGAGGCTTCTAGGGAGAATCCTAAATGGATGTCCCTGTTCTTAAACTGAACTTGGAAAATTCTATTCTAGGCTTCTTCTATATAATAAGAACTATGAGGCCTTGGTCACAGCTCTCTTGGTGACAATACCACAATAACAGAATACTTTTTTCCAAAGAGATCTACCATACTCAGTTAGAATCTCTGCCCTTCAAAGATTTTTTGCTATTTTTTAATTTTTTGATAATACTGTTGAAAATATTTATTATCTTTTAATTTATTTATCTTATTTGTTTATTATCTTTTTTCCTGGTATTGCTTAAATGAAGTATGTTTGTGTGTGCATACACATATACACATGTACATACAGTATATACACACTTTTTTTTTACACATACATACATACTCTTGCCGCTCCTATTTACAGAAACATCTATATGAAACGGTTGGGTGAGATCATCCGGCATCATCTCTTTTCAACACATA